TGGGAGACGGCATTCACCGAGGAATAATAGTCGTAACACCTCCGTTGCCTCATCCTCAGCTGCAGTTTCAGTCTCTGTATCTTCTTCTTCATCAACTTCTTCTCCCTCTTCTACCTCAGCTATGCGTGTTGGTGCCGTTGCGGCTGGTCCCTCACCCTCCGCTGGTCAGCGAACCTCTATCTCTGCTTGCCAGCATCATCATAAAACGTCTGGTCCAAAGACGATAGGCACAACAGTGTCTTTTGGTAGTGGTAGTCGTCAATTAACTACAATTGGCGGAAAACACGCCACTCTGGCATGTGATGCCTTTACGCCCAACTCCGCAACTGTCACCATGACTTCGGACGTTGGACGTCGCGGGCCCTTAGCCACTTCGCAAGCTGTGCCTGTTGAAGGGTAATTGGCGTCTTTTCCATCGTTTTTATTTTCTTGTTTGCATCGTATCACCATTACTCCGTTGTTTAGACAGATTTATCTACCGTGAATATCATATCACTCATCAGTTCATCAGTCGGTGATCGACTGACTGACCGATTGCTGATTTGCCTATGACCTTGGTTGTAAACTAATCAGTCTACTAACAATTCCATTATTTTTATGTTTGCTTTTTAACTTTTTGAATTTATCCCTGTCGTGCGTCTGTCACCTGTTGACTTTGTACATGACAACCTTCACTGTAGTAGGGAATCACTTGCATCTTCATAATAAAAGGTCATTAAGAGAACTATTTTTACATCTTTGTTACATTTTTATTTTTATCTAAGTGCTTCAATAGTTTAGTTAATGCATATATTAATTGATATTTTTGGTTACTCCTCAGCGTTAATGGCGCATCATGAATTATTAAATAACTAGTCTCACCTGCTAGCTACTATTATAATCTTAATTTCATAAAGGATTCACCTTTGGGCCCTTTCTTAGAGTGGGTAATATCTAGCAAAATGGTTGCCAGACTGATGGTAATGTACAATCGGAAGGGAATTTATGCCTAGTATGATTAGGCATGCCTCCCTCCTATGACGAAGGCACTATATTGAATTTGTTATTTATTCGGTGTAATTTTTGCTTAAGGCGTGATTATCTTGATCTTATTTATTGGTAATTTGATATGGTTTTGATTTTTATACACAGAAAATACCATGGGTTGTAAAACCGCTGAAGAAAGAGTTCAAAACACATCCTTACAGCTTGTATGTCTGTTATACATTTGTTTATTTGTGAATATACCTTATGTGGTAAGCGCTTTTGACAGAAAATAATTATCTACTAACTTGACTCTAATATTTTTCATGTTTATTTTACTTAATTTATCTAATTTTGCGTTGACTACATATTTAAGCCTTAGGAATGGCGACTAATGCTAATCAATTTGATATCAGTAATGTTTTTTTAAGCTGGAGTATTCATTTCGTCTTCAAATTATATTATTAGAGCAAGGTTAATTTTTTCACTACAGATTTAAAGCATCCATCGCTATATTGTCTCCCCCGAAGATGTGACCTACTTTTTGGATCCCATTCTTATTCAACCTTGTTTTTCTCTCAGCTATATCCTATTGACAGTTTACTTTTTATTATATCCTCGTTTAGACAATATTATTGTCTAGCCTCTCATTTAATTAAATCATTGATATTGGCATGCAATTATATTATTTTACATAAATTAGTGCTCGCCCTCTTGTTTGTTTATCATTATATGGTTGTCGTAATGTATATACTTTCGAGGACACACTTTATCTCCCAAATTCAAATTTTCTATGGCTTATTGCATGCAATTCTGTTTTAATCTTCATTCAACTTTATTTTCTTACCAGATGGTTATAATTCTATTTTATACGCAACACAGTATTCATATGCACATAGGCATGTAGGCTCTTGCTGCAAGATTGTGACTGCCTTAGATCACTTTAAAACGTATCTTTTCAATTTTTAGTCAGCTACTATTATAGGATTACTGCAAACTCTTACTATATTGATTTAGAATTATCAGAACTAACCAGATAAGCACACCTTGGTCCAATCTTCACAATTATGGATCAATGATTCACCATTGATCTTCGAAAGCCCTAAATTGTCTAGATTATTGTTCTCTTACACACTCACTTTCTCCTTCTTGATACTCACATTTAAGTTAGGTTAGCATTTCTCTGATGAAAACTGTACAATGACCCAATATGTGAGCAATTTTTTTCTTTTTATTTTATTAATTTGTTCGAACGACAAAGCACTAACTTATATTCCTAATACCTCATTAATTGTTAATTTTACTTTTATTCTTTCAAGGAGGATTTAGACCCTTGTTTTTATAAAAACAGGCTAGCCGATACTACCCACTTTATTCATCGGATCAAAATACAGCATGTTGAAGAGATTAATGGAAGGGATTCTTAAATTAACCTCACCAGAATCTGTATGCAAATAGACCCTCGGCGCACCGCCCCGCAGCCCGCATGAATCCTTGTTGAGCTTTTGTCCGTCGTGTGACGGACAGCGTCAAAGCAGGACACCATGCTTCATGACGGACGAAAGCACAGCAAAGACTCATCGGGGTCGCAGGGCAGTGTGCCGATGACCTATCCGCACAAATCTACAGGCATAACTCAAAGATAGTCCCTCTTCTGCTTCCGGTGAGTCCAACTTACGAATCCCCTCTATCCGCCTTGAAAGGTATTTCAAATTCAAACTATTAAGGGATTCTTCAAAACCCATTTTTCCTACATACCAAATAACAGCATTTTGTAGACCAAATTAGATAAAAGATACTGGCGTAATTTTGTATTAATTTAAAGAATTGAAAAAATAAATCAGCACTGCATCTTCCGCACCGCACTTTGATCCATACAGTGTAGCTGGAAAAATATGACGATTTCTCAATATATTCTACACACCAATCAAGCTTTGAATTTATTTTGAATATAACTTTAACATAATCATTGATATGAAGACTTAGATAGTATGGCCTTTTGCTGTATATAAGTGGTTTGGACTCGTTTACACGACTTAGTTACTTTTTTCAGGGGGGCCTTGATATGCTATTGTATTAAGCAGGCCTTTTCCTATCAACTTTCTTCTTTCAAACTCGGACAACATATGATCGACGCGGTCTGGTCTCCATGTTCAGGTTTCTGTTATCTTTTACACTAAAACCAAGATAGTGTGGCCTTCTATTTGGTAGCAATCTCCTCTAACTTGATCTTATTTGAGCTAATTTCCGCCACTTAGTCGGGGTGATAGGGGGACCTTATGGAGCGTACCTAATTCTGTATCCTCTGCCATGATTTCCAGTATAGGATCATTGACTTGGTACATTTCCGATGCTGGAAATCACGAATACTATGATAGAGGACGAAGGATTATATACGTTCCATAGAGCCTGATCATCGCTCCGACCAAGTTGTGAAAACAAGTTCAAACTAAGACTATTCGTCGAAGATATTAAGACTAAGATGGTGTGGCCTTTTGTGTGGTCGCAGTCTCCTTTCGTTATATAGAAGTTGTTTGATCTTGTTTTCGCACCTTGGTCATATTGGTAGGAAGACTTAGAGGAACGCACCTAGTCCGGAGTCCATTGTATGCATAATCATTTTCAAAGTCGGACCGTAGACGTGATACATTCCCAGACGTTTCGCCGGCATCGTAGTCGGCATCGTCAGTGAGTTTTGCCATACGTAACACCATATTACAAGTCGTCAAAGCGACAAGGGAAGCCGATCCTTTGACCAAACGTGTAATAAACAGTTATGGTATCCCCCCTTCTGCCCTGGCCTATTAACATTTCCTATATCCTCCTATCACGCCTTCACTGTCACAATTTTTTACTTGCTTAATTAGATGTGGTAAGGTGTGCCCTCTGAGCGGTTTTAATTAAAACCATCTGCACTCCGCGCTGTCCTTCTCACCCTCCTTCATCCTTGTGCTGGGAATGTTGATCAGAGTTTGCCATATTTTTAAGCCGTCCTCCTCCCCTAGGTCTTACCACAGTCTCTCTTGCTTCGTAAGATCAGTCTGCCCTCTCCATAGTTAACATTTTTCACTCGACCCCTGCCACCCCATCTGCTACTCGAGACGTTATTACCTTTCCCATGCGTCTGGGTGACTAATTCGAGGCTAAAGCCTCTTAGTAAGTTTCATGGTCAGGTCTTTGCCACATGGACCACGTCTCTTATAAAACCTACTGTCAGCCCACTAGCTCCCATAGCCGCCGCGTCT